TTTTCTTACTTGAAATATCTGTTGTATAAATGCAGATGCAACAAATTATCTCTCGTTTTACGGTTTTGGTTAGTTCTGGTTTGTGGTTATTACGTCTGTTGCCTTTTTTTTTTTTTTTTTTTTTTTTTTTTTTTTTTTTTTTTTTTGTTTTTTTTTGGGCCCCAACATGGTCCCAAATTGCACGACAAACTCGTGGCAAGAGTGGTATTCGTCTTCAAGCTTAATCTGGTAAGTAGGAGCTATCAGGGCTTGTGCACAACCGTTCTGCAGACAATTCCGCCGCATACCTACAAGGGTCATACACTGGACGTAAAGGAGGTCAGGCTAGAACCGGAGAAAGCAGGCGTGAGTGTGGGTAAAGGGAAAGGAAGGGGAAAAATAAATAAAATCAAATAAAAAAAAAGGGAGAAAAAGAAAAAGAAAAAAGAAAAGGACCAACTTGACTTGAGCGAAGCGTTCCATTCGGTATTTGCGAACGAATATCAATCCGACAGATCCCTCGATTTTCGGCCCAAGATTTCCTCATTCCCAGTCATCGTTCAGTGTTCCCTGTGATAGAAGCTGGAACTACTAGAACCAACATTAAAACCCTTCCATCCAGCCCTCCGGGTCGTTTGTCCAGGTGAGGGAAACAAAGACTGACGATTATCAGTTTGATAGTCGATCGTTTGTGGGCAATCACTTTACATATAGCCGTGCAGCCTGGAGTCATATTCTGCAGCAATAAATGCAAGACACTCCACCGTTGACTGAATACCGCAACATTTATTCGATTCAGGTATGCTTCTTTCTTTAGCATTTGTCGTGCCCAACATCCTCTCTACCTGTTCTCCACAGCGTCCATTCCAATTGTTTTTCCCACCCAGTTCCCTCCACAAGGGAAAATAAAAGTTCACCCAAAACAGAATAAAACATGTGGCCAGGTTCTTCAGATCTCATTGTGTAGATCCGATATTTCCCCCGTGTGTGGACATGTCTGATTTTCCCTCCCCTTTGATTTCAAAACGTTCCTATACCTACTTGATTACAGGGCTGTATAATACATTGGTGTACAGCACAGTGTCTGTATTGTTCTCATCGCATGTCTCCTTCGCAGCCTTCAGAGTGCAAGTGGTCGCATCTGTCTCGATTTGTGGGCAGTGAAAATGCAATGATGCCCTGAAGCCGAGTCTCGCGGATGGAACGTGCCATGTTTTCTTTTTCGTCCTCTTTTCCTCTTTGGTTTGGCCTGCTTCTAAACTAGCCTTCAAAAACCCCCGATCACTATTGCTTTTGACGTCCAAGTTCTCTACAAATTCCTGGATCCAACATTTGCATCCATTCGGGGCTTGCGATTGCCAGCCAACTTCTTTGTTTGACAGGACCTTCCTACCTACTGTGTCTCTCCTGAAAAGTCCATACTCTCCAACGTCCCACTAGCTTGCCTCGAGCATCCTGCTCAAAGACGTTGACAATGTTTTAAAAGCCAAGCCACCGTGCTAACAAGCTTGAAGGAGAAATTATCGCCGAATAGGAGCGGCGACCACTGTCCTTTTTTTGTTCTTTTCGTTGTTTGGTTTTCTTTTCTTTTTCTTTTTTTTTTCTTCGAGCCGCAGGGTTCTAAATCCAATGAGCAGATCGTTCTGCCATATTCCCTGACAACGTTTTCACTCTATTATACCCCTGTTCAGCGCCATCAGAAGCCTAGTGCTCCTTGGGCGTTACTCTAGCGCTCGCTCAACTTGGGCTGGTCTTAAGGAACCTTCAAGTTGTCCTAAGATCCCAACCCCATCTTCAGTGAGATTATTTTCGGTGGGCTTGCCAATGAATCATTGTAAGTATTCCTGCTACGTATGATTATGCCTCGGTTTTATTTTATCGGGAATTTGTTATTATTATTATTATTATTTTTGGATTTGATTTCAGTTTCTGGTATTTCTTCTGATTGTATTGAATTTTGTTTTGTTTTGTTTTGTTTTCTTTCCCCCCTTTCTCTGAATTTCTTTCTATTTTATTTTATTATTTGTATTATTATTTTTTTTTCTCTCTCTCTGTCTGTCTCCAACGTCGGATCCCCCTGCACCCGTGACCCCCCTTCCCAATGGATTGCTTATGACGAGCGATCTACATGAACGTTGATTTTCCCGTCTCGCTGGTATTTTCAGGGAATTTGTTCTGTTACACAATCCTGGTATTGCTTCATTACCCTGTATTGATATGACATCAAGGACTGTTGTCGTCTTGGCCGTCAAGGATGAAGACCCTATTTCAATTTTGACTGGCAAATGTCCGATTACCTTCAGTACCTTTTCCACGTTGGCTCTCCTTTTACTCTGGCATATTCGGCTCTCTTGTATATCTGTATTGTGGCTCCCCCATCGGTCTGATCATGTTTCTCTTCACCAGCAGCAACTCTACTGCAGAACTCTTTCCAAATGGACGGTCCAATTACCACCGACAGTGACTATACAGGTGGCCAGCGCCCGTTTTCTGGCCCAATCAGTTTTCCCATGGACGATGAGGACCATGGTCGCAGAAGCAGCGCCGTTGGACATCCTTTGGCGCAACCTGTCTCGATACCTGCGACGAACGGTTTGAGATACAACACACAGCAGTCTGCGCTGCAGGATGTGCCGTAAGTTGTCTTTTAATTCAGGCTGCCCTTTGTGCTCCACTTTGGCCACTTGCAGTCACTGGTCCCAGCATTCTCCCCCCTTCTCTGAGTGCATTGAATGGCGGTGCGGTGATGTGTTTTGTTCAACCTTTCCAGTTATGTATGATTGTTAGAATCTATTTTTTCTTGTTCGATTTTCCTTCATGTTACTTATTTTTATCTATGGCCTTCTACTTGTTTTTCTTTTTCTTTTCTTCTTTTTTTTTTTGCCTAGGTACAACTTACATGCACTTGGCTGTTATTCCTCAGGTTGTCTCATAGAACCTCGAAATGTTGCTACAGTTCACTCCTGGCTGATTTATATGCGTCGTGTCCTCTTGTGATGCACTGGCGATATGCAGTTCTGCTTCGCTTTTCACAGTTTGTTTTTATCTTAGCTCTATCTTGCCCTGTCTGTCTATTTGCGAGAAGATGCATGGTTACTAACTCTAGATGATATTTTATAGCTTTGCAACATCTCCGACAATTCTTATGAGCCCTACTGACTCCTGCTCTGGTTTGTTATATCTATAGCCTGCCACATACTGAAGTTCTATGACTGATGGTTTCCTCCATAGAAACCTTTTCTCCCGCCTCGGGATCAATCTATTCGCATTCGCCGGGGCTGCCATTCGATAGAATGCCAGATTTCAGATCTCATCGGGTACCCCCTCTGTAAGCCAGTCACCCTCGTTATTTAGCAGCTAGTTGATGAGCATTGATTGATATGAAATGGTGAGAAGTCAACCACCTACCGGTATTTCTCCTATGCATTCGCAGAGCACGGGAGTATCTGGAAGTGCTGGGCTTCTGGGTAGAAACGACAGTTATCCTGGAACGTACACGCTTCAACGGAGCACATTTCCATCGTTGTCAAGCATTAGTGACATGTCCAGAATGTCGCAATACACCACGACTCCGCGAGTATTGGAAAGCACTATAGACCGAACCTCTCAAAATTTGTTATATGGTCAACCGGGGAACATGCTGATGGAGCCGGTCCAGCGCATGCCACCACCGATGACAGACGCTCCCCCTTTCGGCGAGACTAATGTTATACACCAAATCATCTGCGGCAATCAGACCATTAAAACAGAGATACAAGCTAAGATACATAAGGGGTTCTTTCAGGTCGATGAAAAGTGGACCTGTTATCGGAGAAATTACTTCTCCGTCTCATGTTCTTTCTCACTACACCCATGGACTCATACGCCTCTTTACCTCAAGTATGACCAAGGAACCGAGCGTGTTACGCAATTTGCCATGTCCATATCAGCCATTGTGAATCAACAGTTTAGCGAAGTCCGCGAGCTAGTTCAACACACACCAAAGCGGGATAAACAGTCAGAGAGGAAACCCGGAAAAGTTGTTTTACAGCCTTCTCAACCACCACCATTGGTCCTTAGCCATTCGTCGGGATCTGGTGGCAGTCAGCATACATTTGGTCTAGCCTCTCAATCAGTAGGGATGTCTCTCGACTATAACGGCTCATACAACAGTCCTCCACAACCTTCGCAGCCTCCGACACAACATACCTTTGAGCGCATTCAGTTTCAAAAGGCCACGGCTAATAACGGGAAGCGTCGAGCGCAGCAGCAGTACTACAATCTAGTTGTCGACCTTTACGCAGAAGTTGCAGAGTCCCAGTGGATCAAGATTGCTAGGAAGCTGTCACACCCAATGGTTGTGCGCGGTCGCTCCCCGGGCCATTACAAAGATGGCCGACGAGACAGCTCTACCAGTATGGGTCCCGATGGGGGAAGCGGTGGCTCAGGCGACGGCAGTGGAGGGGCTGTACTACACCCAGGCATGGGAGCAGCTGCACGGTCTCACTTGGCCCTCATGTCGTACGACTCTTCGCAGCGCGGCGGGCCACACTATGGCCGGGCTGACTACAGCCAAATAGCAACATCTGGCCAGTCCACATTAAGTGGAAGCCCACACATCTCATCGTCGTCGTCATCGGCCTTCGATATCGGCGTCCTGAGTGATTCCATGGATCCTCTGGATCCCGTCAAAAGCACGTCAAGCCTTGATTCGTATCATGACTCCAGCTTTGGACTCCTGGACGGCCGAAAACCTGAAAGTCAGTTTCGCCACCAACTGCGCCCTTTCGAGTATGAGCCTGTCTCAAAACCTAGTGAGGAACCCAGCACAACCTTTCATGAGCCATTCGACCCGATGATATCCATGATATCAAACGGACAAAGCGAGTCTTCACACTACCTGAAGCACCCACCCAGAATGGCGTCTCATATGTACCATCATCCCACTACCAGCAGCAGCTATGACCCCATTTACTCAGCACGCTCCAATAATAGCAGTCATTATCCTCGGTTCCAGAGCTCCCAGAGCCTATGTGCTTAGCCATGTGTCTCTCTTTGGTGCTTTTTTCATTCCTTTTCCTCCTCTTTATTTTGCTACGTCTTCTTCTTCTTCTTCTTCTTCTTCTTTTTTTTTTGATTTATTATTATTATTCATCTTTTCACGGACCTTTAGCCCAAAACTTTTAACCTAAAATTCCCTTATGATTAATGCATTGCCAGCTGACTTTTCCTGTTTATGTTATTGTTTTGTTTTGTTTTGTTTGCGTCATGGCCCGGAAGAGACGAAAATTGGAGGTCCGTTTCTTTGTTTACTTTCTATGATAAGCTTCAGATCATGGCCAGCGAGATAGACCACCACCTTGAGTGGATTTTCAGATTCGTTTGCCCAAGCTGAATTACATGAAACTAACTAATGATTTGTCTGTCTCGCTGTTTCCTTCACTTTTACTTTTCTCTTTTGCCCCTACCCTCTTCTGATCTGGTAAGAGATCGACCAATTCTTTGTCAATTCTTTTCTGTCCTTTCCCACTTCTTCTCCCTTTTCCTGTTACCTAATCTTTCCCTTTTCACTTTCTCTCTTCCCCCCTTGTTTTTATTCTGGAAAAAAGAACCATTGTCTGGATCCTGGTCCAGGACCAGGATCATTTAGTTGACACTGTCCTACGTATCTCGAAAGATCGAGGGGAAGGTTGTCCCCAAAATTCACGTGGGGAAGTTTCCTCGAAGAGAATTTGTCAATGTCACCGACAGGATGGTTAAGCTGTGCAGATACCGCCGTAGCCGTTGGCGGAAACCAATGGCAAAGGGAAGAAACATGACGGCGCACCAGGGATGGTGGAACGGCGGGCACAAGAATTATTAGGTTAGGATAAAGAACACGAACCTAAATTGAGGGTTTGGATCGTCTGCTCATTGGCTCGTGTGGGTGTCATTTTCTCCGATATGTTACCTTGTTTTCAGCAACGTAACTACTAGGACATGTCCGCTGTCAGGGTTTTTGACAACTGCCCGCAGAAATGGATTGTTCACGGCTATCCCGTGAAGTTTACTCGTAGAAACTACACAAGTAAGGAGACGGGAGCACGCCAGCTCTTCAAGTCCAAGGCATTTATCTAGAAAGGAATTATCTGCAGAGACAAAGCACCAAGAATTGCAAGGACAGAGAAGACAAAATATTGAATAAATCTAAATCCCATGTTAAAGCAAGGCAAATGAAAACAAATTGACTAACAACTGGTCATTAAAACAGAAACAGACCAAGGAGGCAAAAACATGCCAAACAATTTATGCCGGACAAAGCTGGCGGTCGCCAGTATTAAGCGGTGTTGGGGTGCGCTCTCACCTCCTTTCTTTTTTTTTTTTTTTTTTTTTCTCTAACTCGTACTGATGCATGTATGTATGGAGAGGCGAAAGTGTTGGTTGCCTGCGGGTGCCCTATTCATCCTTTCTTTCAGGACTCGAGATCTCAAAAAACATGCGCCCTATCAGTCCTCACCGTACTCTGCCACCAAAAAGTATGGGATCCGCTACTCAACGATGTCAAGGAAGATGAGACTAGCGGAGATGATCGGCAGTGCTCATGAGGATCGACCTAGCATACATTAGGGGACATCCCAACACCGATAGTTTCCGTACGAAGGATCAACAGCCCTGATGGACTACTGCCCGAAAGAGTTAAGATCACTGGACTCCAACTCCACTTGACCTACACTTCGGCACGTTCCGACCATTCCAGTCAATCGTCGGGGTCCATCAATGAGTCCATTTCTACTTTCGGTGCGTTGTTTACGATGTGTCGGGCCATGCATGGTTACTGCATTTTCTCTGGCTCTTTTCTATTTTCGGTCTCGATTGGAGTCACTTCTGTCTTAACCCCCCAGCAGAACTCCAGGAGTGGATAACCTCCGCGCCAGTGAGATGTGCAGGACGTGCTCATCTCATCTCACGTAAATTGACCCATGGGACAGGCTATACGCCAATCAGAAAGGGATCCCTCGTTCCCAGAGACTACCAAGCGCATCGATACCGACAAGCGATTCAGTCATGAGCAGTCCCAGGCAGCCTTCATGCAATAACCCTCCTTCAAAGGTGGGCCGTTTATGCACGTCGTACAAGGGGTCGACCTGGCGGAGAGACGAAAGTATGCGTGTGATGGATGGGGTGTGGACAACTTTGCAAGCCACATGAGATTGATTAACTGCGGGACGAAAATAGCTGTTCTGGAGGAGGAAGAAGCAACCAACAAGGCGCGTGTTTCTGTTTTGAAAAAAGAAAAGAAAAAGAAAAAGAAAGTGGATGGCCGTGCAACGTTGCATCCAATCTGCGTGGACTCCATGACACTAACGTCCTCATCTTTTCCTCTCTCTCTCTCTCTCTCTCTCTATGGGTAACAGTTGGGCCTTGGCTTATCAGGAACCCTGAGCCCCTCCCCTACCGGATACAGACTACATACAACGCATGTACGGAGTTCCACTGGTGTGTTCAGGGTGTTCTTGCCGGCCAGACTCTTCAACCTGGCGCATGCCATCCAGGAGCCAATGGCCAAGCATCACAAGGCTGGAAGGCCCGACGGTCTTTCGTGTGGGTGTCTCTGGCTTCGAGATCAGACCCCAGCCTTTCCAGAGCCCGAAAACACGGACCAGGTTGTTTAAGCCTAAAATCCTTGAAACGTACGAGACTCGGACGACCGTGCGCGCCTCTTTCGGGGTAGATTCACTTTTCAAGTCAACGGCTCCCTTTCATCACTGGTCTCGCTGCCAAGGAGACTCCTAAGCGGACAGCCATTCCTCCGAAACTTTGTCAAGTCTTTGCATCCTTGTTGACTTCTTAATTTACATGGATCCCATTCGTACGATCTGACTCAATGCCCAGCCATACTACCGCCTACCCCGTCTTACCAGCCCGCCTCTTTGTTCTCACTCCAACATTCCATGCATTGTATCTCGGTTTCACGAAACGGTCTCCGGATGTTGTGTTGCGCCAAACAAACTTCTGACAGCCCGCAACACGCGATGAACAAGAGGTACGGTAGTGAGGCGCCTTGCTTGAGTATCCCGAAAGTCCTTCTTCTTTTGTATTTACCCAACCTTTCTTCGCCCCTCCTTGCGTCCGTCCGTTGCTGACATCCCGTCATTTCGATTCCCAATGGGCGTCCGCTCCCGCCGACAGTCCCGGAGCTTTGATTTGAGCCTACGGTCACACGATGAAGTTGACTCGGCCGACCACAATCTAGGCATTCGTCAGTGAAGAAGAGGCCGACTGCAAATAAACTCGAAGCCCCCTCCCCCATCACACTAAGACCCTTCTTCAGTGGCCATCTTTATCCACCCGCGAGATCCGAATCGCCATCTTACGATCCAACTCTTCCTGCTCCTGCTTTGTTGGAGCCATGCCCATGGCGCCTTCTACTTCCGGTAAAACCCAGAGGCCAATCGACGCCCAAGCCATCACGCCAACTCCGAAGAGAGCCCTTGTTTTCGGCGACAAAGAACGGTAGGAGCTAGTAGCGGGCGGGGATTAGGCCAAATTTGGACAATGATCATGGACAGGAATGGTATATACACACCTCCAGAGAGACATGTCTGTAGATCGATGATTTGCCAGGTGGATGGTGAGGTGTGTCGACTCGCAGGACCTCCTGGTTGTTCTTCACGTCAACTTGAATGAAGGCCACCATTCCTGGAAGGGTTAGCTTAGACGAGATAAATTGCCTCAGGCCGGATCGAGAGTTCCCTTCTCACCGCTTTTAATTCTGCCCGAGTCATCGGTACTCCGTCTTCCGCCGACCTTCTTTGTTGGCTCCTGGTGCGATACAAGGGTCAAGTATAACCCCAGTCCATAAAACCTTTTTTTTTTTTACTGGGTAAGGAATTCAAATATGCAAGCTAGACATGTAGCTTCCCATGGATTAGTTGGCTAAGTTAAGTTCGGAACCTTGTCCCTATACTGTCAAAAACACCTCCACTATCAGCTGATTCAGCACTGATTCAGCGGTCTCCACATCTACCATTCTGTTCGTTTGGTAGGTCGCCCCGTTAGAAGGAGAAGTACGTGGACTACCTTTGAATTTGACCAATTGGAATATTGTACCGCAAGCTGTATTCATTGGATTATGACAGCGGAGCGCTCTGGTATTATTGTATCCGACTATCTCTTAGGGCTAGATACAAGACACCACCCAACGAGTGATTCTACGGAGTAAACATTCAAGACACCAACTCTTGACTCGACTTCTGCTAATGAACTGAGATTATTAGACCACTGCTCGGATCTATATACTTTTAGTCCATGATAATTGCCCTACTTTCCTAACCCATCGTCAGAGAGCAAGACAAGTTAGTTAGTTAGGGCTTCTAGCTTACTAACCGCCTGGGTTTTTACTTTATTTTTATTTTTTTTTTTTTTTTTTTTTTTTTTTTTTTTTTTTTTTTTTTTTTTTTTTTTTTTTTTTTTTTTTGGCTCGAATAGCAGGTAAAAGTCTCAACTTCATCAACGAACACATATTATGTTTCGTTTTTGATCATTTGATGAGTTAAAAGAGGATATGAAGTGGGACTTGACTAGACATTTTGCTGGGATATCTTCATTATCTTACCGATTGGTGTTGACTGCCTTGCGACACATACAGGGGGGGGGTCAAAAAGTATGTATCCTATATACTTATAGATACCTAGTCTCTCACAGTAGGCAATTAGAGCCATAGGTACCTACAAGCATAGCGGCCACATACTTTTGAGTCCTCCTGTAATTTAAAGTGGACATCAAGGGCCCTGAAGTCCGTATACATTACCCTCCGAAGTAGTCTATCCGTGCCCTAGGAGTCACCAGCAACATATACAAGCATACAAACAGAGATGAACTCCAAACCCCAAGAATGTCAACATACAGACCCTTTCTCTCTCACACACTATCCCAAACACTACAACAAGAGATACACACAGCAGTCCACACAACCCCAAGAGACACCAAATCATAGATCATATACTACACATGTCAACCCCCTGGGCGCCCAAACCCAACCAAGCCCCCGAAATGAAAAAAAACAACCCCAGGATAAATACAAAGAGAGATCAACAACCACACAAAACCCTCCAAAGATCCCAATTCCCCCCCGTAAAAACCACCAAATCACAAGTCTGCGCGACCCTGTCCAGCGCCAACTCGATCTCCCTACGCCATGCGACATCCTTCGCCGTATAATAATCCGCCCGGTCCCAAAAACAGCCTGCCCTCTCCAACGGCAACAGAGACCCGCCTACCACAGCTGACCAATGCAGATGGCCCAGGGTCAGGAACTCCACCTCGACCTTGAAGACGTTCGCGGGCGCCACGTCGTCGTCGCTGGCTATCCACGAGGAGTGCATGACGAAGACGCCGATGGACGAGGTCGGCGGCTGCTGTACGAGCATGCGGCGCCAGCTGGCGTCGGGCCGGAGGTAGAGTTCCGCTTCGAGGGGGTCCGCGGGGGGTAAGGTGTAGCCGTAGTTTGTGGTTGCTGCTGTTGCTATTGCTGGTTGGGAGTCGAGGCGTTTGCGGAAGAGGTGCGGCCAGATTTTGGGGGTGAGGAGGGGGTTGAGGGTGCGGTGGGTTGTGTTGCTCCTGCTGCTGCTGCTGGGGGTTAGGGGCTTTTTGGGCTTGAAGAAGAGGGCTTCTTGGAGCTTGGGGGAGGTGGTTATCAGTGCATGCCAGGTCTGGGAGGTGCGTTGGGCGGCGGTTAGGAGGGTTTGGGGGGGTGTTTGGAGGAGGATTTGTTCGAGGATTTCGGGGATGAGGAAGATTTTGTGGGGGGGCATTTTCCTCTCTTTCTTATTTTTCTTGGGGGGGTTCTTTTGGGATTTTGCGTGATTAGAGGTATACTACTGGGTCTAGGATTGGGGGGATGTAGAGGTGGTTTTTGGGGATATATGGAGAGAACCGTGGATAGGGACAGTATTTGACAGAACAGATGAAAATAGAACCGAAAGAAAGGAAATGCATGGTCCATTGCAATCCCGGGTGTTTCATACATGTCTCTTCAATAAAGTAAACATGTTCATCATATCACTCTTGATACGGGTGTGATCCTATGTTCCTCAACTATCAAAGTGGATGTGAACATAGACAATGAGGTCCTGAAACCCCATTGTTAGGGCTCAATGTCTATATACAATGAGTGTGGCCTTGTCTGTATGAGATATCATTGTTCGGAGGCTCATTGATTCCTGATACTGTTCTATAATGACCACGAAACAGGCAGTGTACTGGTGTCCACACATTTTGACGGCAAAGAGGGTCATTACCTGTTGGGTCTCATGCTCACCGTAGGTTTTTGATGTATCAGTATCGTTACTTCCTCTGATTGCTTATTCTCAGAGCGTTCCTTGGTCTTCGAACCACGAGATTCTGGTTAAATACTCCGGGATCAGACACACTGAGTATCTCTGAAGATCAAGATAGCCAGTGTCCATGAATTCGTTCCTCTGGATTGACTATGCAAGTACACGGAATATGTTGTGAATGAGTCCAGAAGTAAATAGGGTCATCAATGCTCTTCCTAAGAATACGGTTTTGGTCTCCATGCTCCCATGCGAAGGAGTGCTATAATTTAGCCGGTCGATCTATAAAATGTGCTAATCCTTTGAAAAGCTGTTTGCCAAGATTTGAATGTAGCAAACTTCGTGATTGAATTTCTGGATCCATAAAGAAAAGCTAGCGAAGCGCAGATTCTGCCAGTCTCTTCTTGGTAGGGGAGAGTGTAGGTAGCTTAATGATACAACCGGCTGGTGGTGTATAGTTCTCGGTTGTTTAGAGACATTAATCTCTTGATTCAGCCTTTGGGGCTGGGCACTGGAGATATTCGTTGCTCTGAACACAGTTATCGGCCGTCAACGAAAAAATATCGGCATGTTTACTTTGTCCAAGCCGGTTACCGAAGTCTTTCAAATTTTTTGCAGCACGGTCTTTAAATGAGTCGCTCTTCTGTGGTTTCAAGGGCTGGGAAGGTTATCTGGGTCACCGGATATAGGTCTGGCTCCTCGAATATTTGGCTGACTCATTCTCTGCAGCAATGCATGCAGTCTCTGGTGCATCATCAGAGATGATCAAGGACGATGGTGAAGAAGAAGAGATGGTAGAAGGTGAGAAGAGTAGAGAAAACAATCCCAGTTCACGCGGAGTCAATGAATTCACGAAATGAACAGAAAGAGCAATCTCCCTTACCATCCACGAAAGGTTGTTTTGTGCTATCAATAGTTTTTAGTACCAGTATGTATTGTCAGTAAGAATTCTTAATATCGAACTTATCTGAAGACTCCAAAATATGAGCCTGACACCACCTCGCCATCATTGTTCACAAAGACAACGACGGGGCTCTTGCTATATCTTGCTAAAGTTGCTCTGAAACCTCCATAGTTGAATATCTCTTTAAGCTGCAAATAACCCCGACAGCCCTTGTGCGTTGGTGTGCAGGCGCAGGCGCAGGCACAGGAGACTCCCACCAAGCCAATTTCTTCCACTGGAGCTTACCCTTTTCCAATGCCAACTAGCATCAGAACCATTTGGGGGTTTTCTGCCTATCTGTCATCCATGTCATGGCTGGAACCAGCCACGGTGCCTGTCGCCAGATAGAGTCAATCTAGTTACCATCTCTGCATAAACTGTCATCTCGGAGGCTCTTCTCATTTCTGCCTGCAGACTCGAGGTTCATTGATAGCAAGTTCTCAATGTAATCTTCTAGACCCAGTCGAGGTGATGGCGAAATAACAACGCATTTTCCTTCCAGGGCTTCCGTGAGGAAAAAGGGTGTATAGGTTTAGACATCCTTCTCTCACATCTTTATTAAAAGTAGTTATTATAGATCTGAATATCCTTGGTATTGTCTGGCCCTCGACTTCGATAGGTTCAGACGCTCTCGCATAGTGAACTATCCTTTTAAGGAAATCGAAGGAAATACCTGTTATGGTATCTGTAGTCGGTTCCGCTGAAGTAAATTGTGATTGACAGCCGATATCCACTACTACTTAGCGGTTCCCAGACTTTAAAGCTAGGTAGAAAGGCCCAACTACTGCAACCATCTCAAAGGGCTCCATTGGCATCAGGTCCTCAATTAGCACATTTTCCTGCTCTCCCTGAAGATACGCTATGTAGCGATTATTAATCTCGGCCATAGTCAGGAAGATACCGGTATAGTGCTGGGATATCATATAGCACCTGACGGGGTGTTGGAAGAATGACCTAAAAATATTTGAGGAACACATGTTAAATAGCGCTGGGACATACCGAAAGGAAGTATCGCCTCGAAAGATTCCATCAGAGATAGGAATGAGATATACGTAATTTTCGAAGTCAAGCCCTTCAAGATCAGGTCCGAAATAATTTGATACGGCAACCCCCAGTCACCGATAGCAAGGCATATTATCAATAAATTTGCCCATTTTTCTGCGGTATATATTGTTTTCCCAGCAATACCAGTCATTCTTTTCGAAAACTTGCAAACGACCACCATCAGTGCGTCGAACTTTCTCCCTGGAAGGCCAACGATAAAGTCGATGCTTATCGTATAGTGGGGAATATTCGGTGTCAAAATAGGATGAAGACTGCCGTACGGTTTGTGTACAGGCTGCTGATTTTTTCTGCATGCGTTACACCATTTAATGTAGTCTTTTACCGCGCGGGTAACCCGTGGGATGGAAAGACTGTGCAAGTTCTGCAACGTCCTATCGAAACCTGGGTGCCCTTTATCGTCGTGGGCGAGCTTTAGCACTTCATGATAGACAAGGAGGTACATAGAGCAACTCAAAGTCTGCTTGACAAAGATATCGGAGCACGATGGGTTGTCGAGGGAGGGGGACGGTGGAGGAAGAAGAAAGAGTACAGCGCCAAAGGATATCGTTGAACATTCCAACACCCATATTCAGGAATATGGGAGTCATGATAGACCACAATACTGGCTCAGCACTTTGATCTGCAAGACTGGCAATGTGCAGAAGGAAGGTAATGAGTGCAAAAAATGCCGTATCTATCCCTTCTAGTCCCGAATCCTATCTTCAAGATCACCCAAAGTTTCCATCAAGTCCTGGATCTCTTGCCCATGGGCGGCTATTATTGTCTCCAGTTTTCTGATATGGTCTTCATGAGACTTAGACATGTCAGATGTAGACGTGGACTTGTCGATATACATGTGTGATGTAGTAGATGTAGACTTATCGGTTGTCGATACAATAACACGATTTTGCGTCGGCAGCATTGGTTAGCTTGCCAATCCTATATCTCAGAGAGTCTCTGACGACCTCAGGATGTGTATGAATCGCCGCGGGTACTGAACAAAAGTTTAAGTATGTCCTCCAGCAGGTAAACTCTCCGCGTCCGCAACTCAGAGGTCAAATATGAGTGTAATGGTTTGGTTTAAGCCAAGCCAAATTCAAAACACATCCAAATTCGTTGTTGAATGCGGCGTGCCTCCATTCCTGATCTCAGAATACTTGTGTAGAGCATGTTCCCCGGTAAACTTCTCCTTGGGCTTGATACTGCCTTTGGAGTTTTTGACCATGAGAACGGTATGAACTCAGTTCTGCAACAGAAAAGACACTGCGATATTGATATAGATCTCTCGAGCACAAATGGCTGTCTAATTTCGCCAGAAGTCTAGCTTTCCTCAGGTATACTAGCTGCCGATAAGTGGGGATTTATGCAAATCTTCCCGGCCATGCGAGGCACCGCCAAACGGATCTCGTCGAGAAGACGAACAGCTGTCTTGTCTTGGGCTGGCAAGTCGCCAAACTCTGAACCTGATAAGGATAGGGGAGAAGGAAAGAGTCCTGGTGGTGTCTTCCGCCTATAAAAGCACTTCTATATCAGTGAATCACATATATTTATGTAGTCACTTTCTCTCTTCGCCTTTAAGAAAAACCCGTTGAGGTCCCTACGATATTTCATTCATCTAAAATCAAGTCACTGTAGGCTGAATGTATAAATTAGAGCCTCTATCAAAGTGCATGGCCTTTGGTGGCATTAGATGTCAGTCTTTCCTATTCTCGCTTGAACATGGATGCTGCTCTCTATCATATTGACCTCGTCGGTACCACGATCGGTCCGAAAATAGGACCCTCAGCCCCGCTGTGATCCCAGAGAATTACTTGAGTGCATGTTTATAGTGATTTGGCATATTGAATGGACCATAGTCCCGTGAACACCGGAGTTGTCTCATCGCAGAATACCGACGTAAAGTCCATAGCCTAAACTTCGTTTCCTGCTCCGCCTCTTGATATATTAAAGCTGTCTAGATCCTTGCCGTGTGTTTACAATCAAAGAATGCCTCCTGCATCTAGTGAATCGCTTTCCATAAGATATTCCACACTTTAGATGTAGACCATTCATGGGATTAACTCCAGCCCCATTGTATGGAACAGGCAATTAATTCTTTACAATATTGTGAATGCATTTAATAGTAGAATATATCCATTAGTTATTTATTGGGAATAATCATCACTAGCATAGGAGGTAAAAAATATTATTTGCTCGGTGATATGATATGATATTCGTGCCGTATATGTGATGATGCTCCATTGCAAGGCGACAAAAGAGGCTCCTCAGCTACCAGGAGAATGTTTGCTGAATGAAAACGTAAGACTGCTACTAATAGGTTTTATATCTAGAAGCCTAGCAGAGGCTTGGGGGTAGCTCACACAGAACGCACAAGCAGCTTGCATTGATCAGGAAAATACGTTAGATATTCCATATGCATCAAGTAAACTCTGGCTCTTATAGACTTTCCAAAAAGGCAAGGGGCGGTATATGATAGGTATCTGTACAACCG